ACCCTGTACAGGGTCGCTATGGGTCGGAACCGACTTGATGGCACTTAACAACAACAACAACAACAACAACAGTCCTTTACTGATAACATGAACTAACCAGTGGGAATGCCAAAAGCAAAACTCCAGTATCTGGAATCTCCATGCTAAGCAAGGTACTGATACTAGGAGGCAAACTCGCCAGGGTAGACAAGGATGTTCACGTTCATCACAGATAAATCTGCACAGCTAATGAGAACCACTGAGTTCTTCATTTCAAGCATCCGATTATACTCCACTTGTAATTTACCTGATCGAGGTTTCAGGCCAAACGGAGCTGCGCTGTCTGTGGTAGGAGAGATTGCAGGGGAATTCTCACTCATCTGTTGTGTCAAAAGGAAAAGAAGTTTTTAGAACACTGAGGCAGAGACAGGTGGGCTTCTCCATGTGCAAAGTTTATCACAGAACCACAGCCTTTTATGCATTTGCTGCCATGGAATGAAGTCCTTCACATGGCAAATGTTTCCAATGGCAGAATTTAAATAAGCTGCTTTTTGGGGATATAGTCTCATTTTTTATTTTGTCATTATAAAAATGTTTTACAATTATGCAAAACTGGAAACCCTTTTATATTCCCCAAAACAGGTGTGTGTGAGCATTTGATGATGAACAGACATGCACACACATCCATCCATACTGAGGCTCTCGTAATGAAGACCCATGCACTATGAGACAAGCAGACAAAGCCACACACAGAATCACTCAAGGACAAGATATTTGAAACGCTGCCCATCACACCTATTTTCATTCCGCTTGGGACAAATCTGTGCTCTAGGAGGTTTCCAGAGTTAGCTTTTTAAGAAAATACATACTATAAATATGAATGTTTCATTATAAAAAGGGGAAGAAAAGGCGTGTGAGTGAACGAGAGTGAGATGGATTCTGAGAGAATCTGCAATACTCATGTAACACCTTACAACAGTTTTAGAATCTGTCTTCCTGTAAAAGATGATCCGATTCAGCCACCAAGAAGCAAGTAGCGCACCCTCAGGACACTTACCTCATTTGGAGAATACTGGCTCCCATTACTCTGCGATGCGACATCGTTCTGTACCTTAAAGAAGGAACACTGAACTGTAAACTTACTGAAGTAAGAACTGCACTTTTCTTGATTCCATCATCTCCCTGGTGCACAGGCATGCAATGAAGATACATTAAGTTAATTTATTCATGTAAGGAGCTCTGGTAGCATAGTGGTTACGAATCGGGCTATGAACCTCAGGGTCAGCAGTTCAAAACTACCAGCTGTTCCATGAGAGAAAGATGAGGCTTTCTGCTCCCGTAAAGAGTTACAGCCTCGGAAACCCTGTACAGGGTCGCTATGAGTCGGAACTGACTCCACAGCACATAGCAACAACAACAACAAAGTAGACAAGTAGGTCATACTTAAGATTTCCTAAAAATGTAAAGTCACCTTCCTACAAGTACCTATAAGAACTATTACACAAATATAGATAAACGTCAGAGCAGAGCTGCATCCAAAGTGCTTTACTGTGAACATCAGTTCACCTTTGAGGTCATCAAACTGCCTGCTGCACCTCCCCACACCCTCTCCACAATCTTGTTTTCATTACAGGTTTTTAGAAATGGTCCAAGGCAGCGGCAGTTCTCGAACACACAGAGCTGCACCAGGACCGTCTAATAAATGCTTGTGCCTGGACCCCGAATTACCTGGGCAAATGCCATACTGTCAACTCTGTAGAGTTTGCTTTGGCGACCACTAGTTAAAAGAGTCCTGGTGTGGCACTGTAGGATAAGCACTGAACTGGAAGGTCGTTTGAATGTCAAAGTCAGTGGTTCTAACTCACCGGCCACTCCTCGGAAACTGTATACAGGGTCACCATGAGGTGGAACTGAGTCGACAGCACTTAACAACAACAACAAGTTAAAAGAAACATGTAAGAAATGTCTTTAAGGTAAAACGGGCAGGATTTGGGACTGGCCAGAGAGGAAGGTCGTCGGCATCCTGGCTTCCAGCTGGAGTGACTGGATAGCTAATGGTGCCCCTAAGGGTAAGAAGGAATAAGAGAGCAGATCGAGAGGAAAGTTGACGTGTCAGTTCAGCCATGCAAACAATGAGAACCTTATGGAGGATGGACACACATACCTGAATACTGGGGGCTGAGGATCGAGGCATGAGCTATAGATTTGGAAGTCATTATTATTAATGGGGTGCCTGAGTGCAGGTTTCTCAGGAAGAGCATATGGAAAGACAGGAGCAGCGATGGAGGGCAAACATAGGAGAAAGGCCCACACAAGCTTATTTTGTGCACCTTTGCTTTCTTTTTAGAGACTCTGGGTGGCACAAACGGTTAATACGCTAAGCTGCTGAGCAAAAGGCTGGAGAGTCAAGCTTACCAAGATGTACCTCCGAAAAAAGGCCTAATACTTTACTGCCCCTAAACCACATGCTACAAGGATATTATTTTTATCAATAGACAAATTTGAAATATGAGCGACACATTAGCTAAAAATATAATACCAATGTAAATTTACGAGATTGATAAGTACAATATTATGTAAGGTTCAATCTGTATTGCTAGGAAACATACACTGAAACATTTAGAGTTAAATGGGCATAGTTTATGAAATTTAGCCTAAAATGATTCAGAAAACAAAAGAAAGGAAAACTAAGTGTGTGATGCAGAGAAGGGGAGAGAAACAGAAGAAATGATAGAGTAACTGGGATAAAATGTTAAAAGGTAAGTCTGAGGAGCGGATATGTGAGTGTTGCCTATGTTTTGTTTTTCAAACTTTCATAGGCTTAAATAAAAATGAGATCTGCACAGTATCAAAAGCAGCCTGTCTCAAATGGAGAGAATGGTGGCATGGGCCGGGGCCAGATTCTCTGCCGCTCCACCTTCGGGTAAGGCCAGGATGCTTCCACCCTGGGAAAAGTGACTGGGATAGCGATTCTGCCTACAGACCACACCAAAAACAATAAGTGGGTGGGAAAAAAATAACAAGAGCAGCCAACACTGATTGGGTACCCTGTGCTGTGAGATCTGTCTTGAATCATCTTATTTAATCTTTACAACTAGAATCATCATCATCCCAATTTATGGAAAATGCGGGTAAGGCAAAGAGAAGCTAATTAACTTGTCAACAGTTAGCAATCCTGAGCCAGGACTGATCCCTGAAATAATTCCAAGTCTCTCTGGTTAACAACTAAACCACAGTCTCTGTGAACATGGCTTGTTCCCTGTATCTCTCTTGCTTCCCATATTTCTTGAGCACAAAGACTTGGTTCCCAGACACACAGAACCACATTGAAATCCTGTAATAAATATACCTGGCTGGACCCCAAATCAGTTGAGTAAATCTCATGCTGTCAAGTTCAGCATCAAATTGTTTATTAAGAGTGAGAAACAGTTCATGTGCAGGTACCTCAGGGACTCTGCACTAGTTTGCCCACAATCTTGGTACCTAAAGTGGTCATTCTACCACCATTCAATAAGAGAGGCTAGAAAAGGCTGTATGTACCCCAGGCTCTACTCTGAAGTCAGCATCCCAAGCCAATCTCACTGTGGTGTACAGAGGTAACAATCCTTCTTTGAGATCTTCCCGGCTCATTTCTAGTTTCCTGTCAAAATTGCTTTCTCAACAGCCACCCAAATATCACCCCACATAAAGCTACCATGCCTACCATGACCCTGCTGCCAAGTGCCTCCAGAAGATTCTATTTCACGAGAAATGTTCCCAAATGGCTAGTTCATGTCGAGTTCTTTCTAGTTAATTTCATCTGGCTTGAATGGTGCTACCTCCAGGTTCCAGGCCCAGCGCAGGAAGGGTGTCTCAGAAAACACTTAAGTGAACCCACTGGAAGTAGACAACTCACATCTACTGGCTAGGTTTGCACTTGACTAACAACTGAAACATTGGTAGTTCAAACCTAACCAGGGGCAGCAGAAAGCCTGATGATTGGCTTCCATGGAGACTACAGCCAAGAAAACCCTGTGGGGTCCCTGGAACCATCAAAGGAGAAAAGCAGAGAGTGGGACCCTACTCAGAGAAGGAATGATGCCTAAGATGGAGGCAGAGATAATTACGTGGAGAGATGGAGCAGTTGGGGGATTTAGACACAGGGAGGGAGAGGGGCTGTGTGCTGACGACTAGGGGGCAGGCTTGTAGTGTATACCCTTTGGTCGGTTGATGATGCATGGAGGGGATTGTAACCATGGCAATGAAATATGATAGAATGAATTTAAAACTTAATGTTCTCCCATGTAAACTATCACATAATTCACAATAAAACATTAAAAAAAACAAAACACAAAAACCCTGTGGGGCAGTTCTGCTCCACGACACACAGGGTTGCCAAGACTCAAAACAGACTCCATGGCACTGGGTTTGATACATAATAAGTGGCAAGAGAACTGAAGAGGGTTGAAGGAAGAAAAAGTGGAACATTCTGATGAATGTTCATGAGAGAGCACGTATTTACAGACTATTGTGGACGTGTTCTGCGGCAGTATGGCACACAGAGGAGGATCGTTAGTTCAACCCGAGTAGCCTCACCTCACACACCAGCGACGCCTCCAGATGCATCTGCCCACTGCAGGATAAAACAGAATAAAAAAAGACGTGACGTGAAACTCAAAGCAAACGCTTCAGTGCAAACAGAAAAATCATATTTTTGTTATGAGAATGCTAACATACTTTAATGCAGCATCTTGTAGTTCTAAAGCTTCTGCTGATTCCATGGGATAAAGATTAACAACACTTCTCTCTGTAACGTCTGTATTTAACCTGAGGAGTATGAAAAGATGACAGACATGAACACATTCAGTGAACTGTTATTTTTAATGAATTTGATTGCTTTTGGTCATATTCAGTTTCAAATGTTGTAAAATGTATATTAAAAAGCCTTGGTGGGGAGGGGAGTGATTAACTTTTCAGTCTAGGAGCGGAGGTTCCTAGGACCATCAAGGGAGAGAAGAGCACAGAGCGGGACCCCACCCAGAGAAGCAGTGATGCCTGAAATGGAGGCAGAGATGATGACATGGAGCAATGGAGTAGCTGGGGACTTTGGATCCAGAGAGGGAGAGCGGCTGTGTGCTGAAGACCTGGGGGATACGGGGGAAGGATTGCAGGGTATATCCTTTGGTTGGTTGATGATGCATGGAGGGGATTGTAACCATGGCAATGAGATGAATGATAGAATGAATGTAAAACTAATGTTCTCCTATGTAAACTATCACATAATTCACAATAAAACATATAAGAAAAAAAAAAGCCTTGGTGGCACTGTGGGTTAGGTGATGGGCTACTAATTGCAGAGTTGGCAGTTCAAACCCACCATCCACTGAGGGAGAAAGACGAAGCTAGCTGCTCCTGTAAAGATTTAGAACCTCCTGCGTTCCTTGTGTGGTGCCGTAGAATCAGCACTGGACTTTGAACCACAGGTTGGCAATTGAAACCCACCAGCCGATCCATGAAAACCCTATACAGGGTCACTATGGGTCAGAACCAACTTGATGACAATGGTCTATCCTGATGCTGGAGTGATGAAAAATTTATGGCAAAATTTTCAAACAATATGGTCTTTTCATATCACATGCCAAATAATTTTCCATCCACTTATCTACTATGGAACAGAAATTTCTGATGCGCATAATCTTTATGGGTATCACAAGGTAAATTTTATTCTAGAACCTCATTCATCCACAGAAACTAGTTGTTAAGAGTAAGACATGGTATGTACCTCAAGGACATAAAAGACAGAATTCGTCTATATTAATATTCACTTAAAAATTATAATTCACAATTTGATATGCATTTTTATTTTAAAATTTTCTCACAGAGAGCTTCTAAATGTCTGCAATTTTAGGAGGTGGGACCTTTTTTATGACCAATAAACCAATAATTTCTGTAAGACATATAAAAATTACAAAGTCATTTTAAGGGGTAGAAATGTGTTCTTATTATACATTCATATAAAAAATGCAAACTAACAATCAGAAGTCCTGGAGAGAAGAAAACAAGATAAAGGCAAAACATGACAGCTAAGAAACAGACAAATTTTTTCTGATGTTGAGGTCATATAAAATGTGAAGTTCTCAAATGTAATCCAACAATGAATGGCTTAACTAACTACAAGTAAACCAACAACAACGCCGTGGGTCTCTGACATTTGAGATAAAGGGAAAAAAAAATCACTGCGTATGCAAATTTGATTACTAATATTCAGTACCAAGCAGCTAAAATAAATGGCCTCTGAGGAACTTTATAAAAAGCAAAAACAGGGTCTCTGCTCTTTTACTTACATTGGCTTACAGAAACATGCTTATTACGTAGTGGTTACGAATCGGGCTGTGAACCGTAAGGTCAGCGGTTCGAAACTACCAGTCGCTCCATGGGAGAAAGATGAGGCTTTCTACTCCCGTAAAGATTTACACCCTCGGAAACCCTGTACAGGGTCGCTATGGGTCAGAACCGACTCGACGGCACTTAGCAACAACAACAACAATAATTATTTTAGCATAAATAGGATCTACCACAAACAAAGAAGTGGATTATTATAGGGAGGAAACGAATCCATATAAAGTTGGACAACTTATTATAATTTAAAAATAGCACCCCATAAAGATGCAAATCTGACATTGATCGAAAGGTGACTCCGAGATGTTTTACTCCACAATGTGGAACACATCCACCATTCCAACCCACTCGACAATCTGAGCAACTCATGGACTCAAATATTGCAGAGCTGGGAAGGAACTTGGAGATCCTCAGTCCAACCCACTCATAGAGGATGATGCAATTGAGGCCTGGGACCAGGTGTCAATTCCTCCACCTGCCTTGTATCTTACTCCTGGGTTCGGGTCCAGATTTCCATGCCTGGAGTGCCTGGTGTTGCAAATGGTAAAAGTGCTCTGCTGCTAATGGAAAGGCTGGAGATTCTAGTCCATCCACAGGTGTGTCAGAAGAAAGACCTGGTAGATCTACTTCTGAAAAATCAGCCTTTGGAAAACTTACTGAGAACAATTGTACTCGGACACTCATGGGCTACCATGAGACAAAATCAATTCTATAGCAACTGTTGGCTTCTATTTCACGCAGTTAAATCAACTATGTTCTTGTTGTTCTTAAGTGCCATGGAGTTGGTTCTGACTCAGTGACCCTGTACAGGGTTTCCAAGGAGTGGCTGATGAGTTTGAAGCGCCGACCTTGTGGTTCAAACTGACCTTGCGGTCTAATACTTTATCCCACAGTACCACACCAGGACTCCTTAAATCAACTATACTTATGAGTACAGTTGATATAAGTCAGCTATACTTATAAATAATTCCTCAAGGCAATCTTTATCTACTATAGCTCCAGTTCTCAAAAAGCCAGGGCTGTGCCTTATTCATCTTCATATCCCCCAAGGTGCATATTAGAGATCGCCTGCTCTGTAAGTACTCAATTAATGTCTACAGAGTTAAAAAGCTCTCAAATCAATCACTGAAGATTTCCAACCGTTCACACTCCACCTGACTTTATCGATATCTATGCAGTTGATGTACTCTCACTGGCTCTCTGGGAATCACTCACCATCCTTTTTGTATTTGAAGAGCTCAACTAAGATTGCTGTGTTATCATTTCCATGTTCAACATAAACAAAATCATACCATCTTCATAACTAAACTCCTAAGGCTGCTGAGAAGTTCACCAGGGCTAAGTTTCAGATATAGTTCTCTAATGATCAATTAACTAGTCCTTGTGGAAGAAAACAATGAACGTGCTTGACTGCTAATCATAATGCTAAAGGCTTCAGTATATCCAGAGATGCCTTTAAGAAAGGCCTGGTGATGTATTTACAAAAAATCCACCACTAAACTTGGACATTGGCTACCTTTTAAAATGGGGGGGAGGGGGGTGCTACAAAAACAAGAAGTGACTGGCTTACAAGCTTTCAAGAGGGTACCTAGATCTAGAGGGTATGAAGGAAGGTAGAATCTCCAGTGAGTAGTATCCAATCTGTCTAGGCAGGGCTGATGAAATGAAATGCGGATGGGTCTCTTGTAATACAATAGTTAATAATTGTTATCAGGACTGATTGTGAGGGTTGGAAATGTAAAGGTAGACAGTTTTGTAGCAAGGAGGGGAGTGATTAACTTTTCAGTCTAGGAGCGGAGGTCCCTGGGACCATGAAGGGAGAAGAGCGGAGACAGGACTCTACCCAGAGAAGCAGTGATGCCCAAGATGGAGGCAGAGACAATGATGTGGAGAGATGGAGTAGCTGGGGACTTCAGACCCAGAGAGGGAGAGGGCCTGTGTGCTGACAACCTGGGGTCAGGCTTGTAGTGCATATACCCTTTGGTTGGTTGATGATGCATGGAGGGGATTGTAACCATGGCAATGAAATGATATGCGATAGGATGAATATAAAACTAATGTTCTCCCATGTAAACTATTACATAATTCACAATAAAACATTTTTTTAAAAACCCGCCATTAAAAAGCCTACTATAGAGTGCAGTTCTGTCTGACAAGAATGGGGTCTCTATGAGTTAGGGCTGACTTGATGATAAACTGGTAAAATAGCTATTGTATAATATGAGATATATTGACTTGCTTAAAAACACTTTGTTCATGAGCATTCCATTATCTTTAGCTAAGATTTTTAAACGTATATTCACTGCATATAATGTCTATTATTGGTGAACACCAATTCAAATAAAAAATACCCTGTAACCCTAATCTTTAAGGTGCTCTGGTAGCGCAGTAGTTACTAATCAGGCTGTGAACCTTAAGGTCAGCAGTTCGAAACTACCAGCTGTTCCGTGGCAGAAAGATGAGGATTTCTAAAAGATGAGGCTTTCTGATCCCGTAAAGATTTACAGCCACGGAAACCATGGTTCAGGGTTGTTATGAGTCAGTTCCGACTCCAGGAAACACAACCACCAACCACCAACCCTAATCTTTAGAAATGTACTATTTAGTTAGCCTATCTTTGGCAAATCTGATATAAAGATAGCAGTACTTGATACATCAATTCTTTTGTAACCCGTTGTTGTTGTTAGATGCCATTGAGTCGATACCGACTCATAGCGACCTTATGCACAGCAGAACGAAACAATGTCCGATCCTGGGCCAACCTCACTACTGTTGCCACACTTGAGTCCATAGATGCTGCCACTTGGCCAATCCATCTCGTTGGGGGTCTTCTTCTTTTTCATTGGCCATCCATCTTACCAAACATGATACCCTTCTACAGCGACTGGTCCCTTCTGACAATATATCCAAAGTATGAGAGATGAAGTTTGGCCATCTTGGCCTCTAAGGAGCACTCTGGATGCACTTCTAAAACAGATCTATTGGTTCTTTTGGCAGCCCATGGCACTTTTAGTATTCTTCTCCAACACCATAACTCAAAGGCATCAATTCTTCTACAGTCTTCCTTATTTACTGTCCAGCTTTCGCATACATATGAGGTTTTTGAAAAAAACATGGCTTGAGTCAGGTGCACCTTAGTCTTCAAGCTGACATCTTTGCTCTTCAACACTTTAAAAAGGTCTTGTGCAGCAGATTTGTCTAATGCAATACGTAGTCTGATCTCTTGACTGCTGCTTCCATGAGTGTTGATAGTTGATCCAAGAAGAATGAAGTCCTTGACAACTTCAATCTTTTCTCCATTGATAAGAATGTTGTTTATAGGTCTAGTGGTGAGGATTTTTGTTTTCTTGACATTGAGATATAATCCATACCGGATGGAGGCTGTGCTCTTTGATCTTCATCAGTAAATGTTTTAAGTCCTCTTCACTTTCAGCAAGCAAGGTTATATCATCTGCATATCGCAGGTTGTTAATGAGTCTTCCTCCAATCCTGATGCCACATTTTTCTTCATAGAACCCAGCTTCTAGTATTATTTGCTCAGCATACAGGTTGATTAAGTATGGTGAAAGAATACAACCTTGTCGCACCCCTTTCTTAATTTTAAACCATTCAGTGTTCCCATGTTCTGTTCAAACAACTGCTTCTTGGTCCAGGTACAAATTCCTCATGAGTACAATTAAGTGTTCTGGAATACTCATACTTCGCAGTATTATCCATAGCTTGTTACGATCCACACAATGAAAAGCCTTTGCATAGTCAATAAAGCACAGGTAAACATCTTTCTGATATTCTCTGTAACTCGTATGTTTTTATAAATCAAGGGATGTCTACTGATGTTGATCAATATAAAATGTGTACTTTTCACATATATCTATTTTCTAAGAATTATACCAAAAATTTCTATACGAATCTTGGAGCAAAATGGATAGGGATAATAAATGGGGAGCACTGCCGCTCTAAAGAATCAGCACAGGACTGCAGACCACAAGGTCGATGGTTCAAGCCTACCTGCCGCTCTGTGGGAGAAAGATGAAGATTTCTTCTCCTAGATTTATAACCTCAGAAACCCTATCCAGGGTCTCTATTGACTCAACAGCACTTAACAACAACAGTAGAGAGAGAGGGGATAAATAGTAACGCCTCTAAAAGTTTGGTTCTTAAGAAAACAGTTAAAATGACTCTTTTTTGTTTGTTTTTTAATGGTTAGACTGAACCCAAATTATTTGTATAATTGTTTTTAAAAACTGAGCTAATGTGTTGTTGTTTATTGTAGCCATAGAGTCAGTTCAGACTCATAGCAGCCCTATGTAGGGTTTCTAAGGAGCAGCTGGTGAGTTTGAATCGCTGACCTTGTGGTTCAAATCAACCTTGAGGTCAAGTGCTTATCTCGCAGCATGTACCACACAGGAAATCTGGGCCAAGGAAAGAAACGCCTACCTGTTGGGATCTTGTAGCACATCTACTGCTACTCTCAGCTGCTCGATCATCACTATGTCCATGACCTGGTCTTTGGATGAACTTATTCTGTAACATGAGCCCAAGAAGGAAAGAGATTATGAAAGCAGGAATATCAATCATCCAGCTTCCTAACAACAAACTTTCAAATCTCCATTTAACATAGAAAAAAAAATTGAGCAAATGTAACATTTCAACCAAGACGTGTCAGTGAGCTGCAGAGCATGGTGGGAAAAGCTCCCAGTGGGTGGGTGGAGCCAGTTCTGCTGTAAAGCAGTGCATGCTTAATTCCCACCTGCGATCCTTCATCTGTAGAATCAGGACAATGACTGAGCTTAGTTTGCATACTGGCCTTTCCTGAGGCTCACGGAATAGAACTATCTTCAGTTCAAACAGGTGGCCCAGGTCTATCATTTTCATAGAGTACAGAGCTTCAATGTGGAACAGTGGTTCTCAATACAGGCTCCCTGTGCAGCAAAATCATCCATGAAGCTTACATATATATACATCTAAGGTCGACACAGAATCCATGGCACTTAGCAACAATAACATCTACACACACACACAAACACACACACACTTAATATTCTCAAGTAAGGTTTGAGTGTTTGTATAACCTTTACTAAATTCTACAGCTAGGGCTGAAAACCACAGATGTAGAGTGAGAACAGAGTTCTAGAGCTTTATACAGTTTAAAAATACATATGTCATCCTTTATATTTTATGATTCTATAATCCTGCTATGGCACTGTGGAATAAAGCACTGGATCGCAAGGTCAGTTTGAACCACAAGGTCGGCGGTTCAAACTTGCCAATCGCTCCTTGGAAACAGGGTTTGCTATGGGTTGGAACCAACTCAGCAGCACCTAACAACAACATCATCATCATGCTAGGTGTCCTTGTTTTCAGAAATATAGCCAAGAAAGCACTGATAATACTGGTAATTGATTTGAAAGTAACTCTGCAAAGCATTTACCTCAAGGGCAAGAGCTATCTGATGGTGTTTACTGCCTTCCACTGAGGCAGTCGGGATTCAATAGTAGAATTCTTGCCTTCCACACGGGAGACCCAAGTTAGATTCCCAGCCAATGCACCTCAAATGTAGCTATTTACCATCTATCAGTGGAGGCATGCATATTGCTAAGAAGCTGGAGAGGAATCAATGGAGCTTCCATTAAGATGGGTTAAGAAGAAAAGTCTGACAATCTACTTTGAAAAATCAGCCAATGAAAACCCTGTGGATCAGTGGTCCTATCCACAACCCCATGATTGGATTGGTTGTGGTGCAGACTTGGGCAGCATTTCTTTGAGCATGGGGTCATCATGAGTCATGGAAGACTTAAAAGCAGTTAATGACAACCTTTCCACTATATAATGTAAACCAATGCCTTTCTCTAAATAGAGAAATCTTTAAACAACATAGCAAATCCTCACTAGGGGAAAGAAACCCTGAAAATCACAATGGGGATCCAAGTCTCCATAGCAGATTATGGAAAACAAAATCTACTCTACACAGTCCAAATTGAATTCCCTTAGAAATAGCTCACTGGTGGATAGATCATGCATGCCTTCCCCTAAAAATCTTCCCAAGTAAGGCTTGTTTGTTTGAAGTGTCGTTGAGTTGGTTCTGACTCATAACGACCCTGTGGCTGGTTTCCAAGGCATCGCTGGTGGGTTGGAACCAATGACCTTGTGGTTAGCAGTCCAGTACATACCCTACAGAGCCACACCAGGACTCCAAGACTTTATGGGCAGTAGAGTGTGAAAGATATTAGTTTGGACTATGAGTTCGTGGGTTGAAATCTTGGCTTTGACATTCTGTGATCTAGGGAAAAGATAATTAGATAATTAACATCTGTCTAAACTTTTGTCATCTGTAAAATGGGGGTGATAGAATTTACACGATTATTGTGATTAGCTACCATCTATGAAGGAGCTCTGGTTGCGTAGTGGTGACAAGTTGGGCTCCTAACCTCAAGGTCAGCAGTTCGATACTACCAGCGGCTCCGTGGAAGAAAGAGGAGGCTTTCTGCTCCTGTAAAGATTTACAGCCTTGGATACCCTGTACAGGGTCGCTATGGGTCGGAACCGACTTGATGGCACTTAACAACAACAACATGCAGTTTTTAAGATCAGACTTGGTATGTGTTGTTTAATAAATGTAGCTATTACAACCATCAAATTGGAGACTAGAGCAGTAAATGATCATGGTTTTCTCAGACCTCCAACCTGAACACTTTGGGTAAAGAAGGAGAGCCCATTCCAACAGATCATCTAGGCTCCAATTCTTGGAAAGAATCTAGAATTTGCAGGATAGAAATTCTATCTAATTCTCTGGATCACATTCTCTTGTCAACTTCAACTCAGACAATACTAAAGGTCAAGGAGGAGATGAAGACCTTTCACCATATAGTCTAATACTGAGACATTAAGCATCAGACACACTTAAATTCACAGTTCCTCTGGGTAAGAATCGTGGTTTGCCAAAAGACTGTTGTTGTTAAGCGCTGTCGACTCAGTTCTAAGTCATAGCAACCCTGTATAGGGTTTCCAGGGCGTGGCTGATGAGTCTGCACTGCCGATCTTGTGGTTCAAACCAACCTTGTAGTCCAGTGCTTTGTCCTATAGCACCACACCAGGACTGCAGCATAAGCATACCCATATATTGTTGCATGAGACATGCAACAATGTTATATCTTGCTTATCTAAGAGTCAAATTTAACTTGGTGTCTTCTGTTCTTATCTGTTAAATCTGGTCACATATATCCAGGTGAAAGAATTACTGTCGTAAAACTATCTGACCCCAGAGCCCAGATTTTATCGACTACTTTGCATAGTCTTCATAGTTTAAAACTTTCCAAAATGAACTTGCCATGACTACATTGAAACCATTTCCAAAAGAGGTATGTAACCCAGACATAAGAGGTTTTGTTGTTGTTAGGTGTCATTGAGTCAGTACTGACTCATAGTGACCCCACTATGTACAACAGAATGAAATACTGCCCGGTCCTGGGCTAACCTCTCAATTGTTGCCACATTTGAGCCCACTGATGCTGCCACTTTGCCAACTCACAACCACGGTGCTACCAAAGCTTCTCGATATAACAGGTAGTCTACTGAGAAACAGATCAAAATTCTATCAGGACAGTGAGCTTTGCAGGGACGGTGGCTTGTGACTGGGCCCCGGTACTCACAGTCCCTCTGGCGGCCAGTGGGCGTCCTCTTCTATCCGCAACAGTTCCTCACAGTCTTCTGCCCTACTCTGTGGACAGTAAACACAAGATTCTGCTGAGAACCATGGCTATTCAACCATCAGCACCTGGGCCACTTCACTTGATAGCTTAGAATTGGAAATGTAAAGGTTAACTTTTTGTCCTCCTAGTTCATCCTAACGTGGACAGAGTCTCCCAGAGGCTCGTCAGTCACAGATCCATGCACACACCTGTCAGAAAGCTGGGGTGGAAGAAGGGTCTGTGTGTGTGTGTTGGTGGGAAAGCTATAGTATAAAATACTTTACACAACCGAAAAATACCTCAAATTACATCTAATAGTTTTCATGAGAACAACATCTGGAACTTACGGAAATGTGTTCCTCCCTTTATTTTCCCCAGAGACACAATGCAGAAGGTATATTTAGAAAGGTGTGTCCCACCCACTGGCCTTCCACATGTTTCCTTCCACTTTCATCTGAAATGCTACTTATTTAACTCAATGGACAGAATGGGAGCCAGCTCTGAAAGGGGACACACTGCCCTGGAGAGGAAGGAACCCAGACAGAAAGGACTGTATTCTGCATCTAGGTTCCAGTACATCATCAGCCAACTTGGAAACCAGTTAATTTCCCAGATGTGCCACCGAGGACAAGCTTATTTTGGGTAGGTGGATAGTTGCCCAATGCAGGTCTCTGGCTAGAAAAACAATCAGACTTTTTCTACATTGGTTATATTTGGTGTTATAGAATAAGCATTGAATTGGAACCATTAAGGTTGGTGGTTCGAACCAACTCATAGTGACCATGTATAGGGTTTCTGAAGAGCGGCTGGAGAATCTGAATAGTCTACCATGCAATCCAGTGCAGTTCAAGCCGACCTTGGAGTCCTGGTATGGTTCTGTAGGATTTATTTATATATATATATATCCTATAGTGTGGCATTGTGGGTTAATGCACCAGACTGCAAAACCATCTGAACTACAAGGTCAGCAGTTCAAGCTCACCAGCTGCTCCTCGGAAACCCTACACAGTGTCACTATGGGTCAGAACCGACTTGATGGTACTTCATAACAACAACATATATATGCTCTTATCATTTCTTGACGGTCTTCAACTACAGTTGTTATAATTATTTCCTTCTAATTTTTAGTTTCCCAGCCCAAAGTAGGCAATGATATAAAACATGTATTTTTTAAGTATAAGTGGAGCTTACTGACCACACCCTGAAAGTTGTAATTATAAGAATACAAGACACTGACTCATTAGAGAGGAGAAAACAGACTGACCAATGGCCTACACACCTGCTGGCTTACAAAAACGTGCTCACAGACTCTAAATGTGATGGAGTCAAGGTTTTGACACTCCGTGTATGGCTTCTCCTTTAACTTACAGTAGATTCAGGTTTTAGCATTACCATTGTTCTTACGACTTTGTAAGGAAAGTGTCTTGCAGGAGAAGGCGCCAAAAACATCACTGATTTGATTTCCATTGCCCGTTTATTCCTCTACTTTCTGCCCCCAGGGATCCATCCTGCGGAGCAGCCATTTCTTTGGAGCTAAATCTAGGGAAATTTGCTTCCCTACAATAATATTCTTTACTTTACTAACCAGACTGATTGTTTTCTTTATAACTTGAACTTGGGCATTTGATGAACACATTTTTTCAGGGTTTCCATTTTACCCTTAATTCTCAATTTAAGTTGGGATCTTCAGAAAAATAGAGAGAAAACCCCAATTTTCCATGTTTTCATGACAGACTTGTCTCACAGAGTTGATGGACAGAATGTCAAATCTGGGAGAATCTGTGAGAACCACTGGCCTGACAGTAAGGAGATGAGATTTGTACTTTAGGAAAATGTCTTCTGGCAGAATACAGAGTGCTAGAGATGATGGGAACAGTGTGTGGTGTTTGGGGGAGGGGTCTGGGATAGGGAAGGCTACTTCTGTCCTCAAAGTTAGAAATGAAGAGACTCAAGTGAAGTCGGAAACAGAAAGGCAACAATGGGTGAGAAACATTCTGAAACTCAAATTGATGAATGAATGATGAATTAAATACACATTCCAGATAAAGGGTTAAGGCTCTCTTTGCTTTACCCTTCTATGTAACTTCTGGAGTCCCGCTGTGGCGCTGTGAGTTAGTGCTGAACTGCAGTTGGTTTGAACTGCAAAGTTGGCGGTTCAAGCTCAATAGCCGCTCCTTGGAAACCCTACACAGGGTTGCTATTGGTCAGAACTGACTTGATAGCACTTAACAACAACATGTAACTTTCATATTATGGATTAAATTGTGTCTCCCCAACCCTCCCAGCCCCCACCAAAATGTGCATTGGACTCCTAATTCCTTATATCTGGATGTAACCTAATCTACTAAAATGTAATCAATCTTCTTCCATAAAGCAATCTAATGCTAAGTTATGAGGTCATGCCAGTGTAGGGTGAGTCCTAAACATAATCATTTGTCAAAAAAGCAGATTAGACACGGAGGCACACACCTACTGGGGAAGACAGATGCCATGTGAGGATTGCCAAGAACCAAAGAACACTCAGTGCTACCGACAGGGTCGAGACGCTGGTTTGGCCTTTTCACCTTCAGGACAACGAGAAAATAAATTCCCGATCTTTCGAACCGCCCACCAGTGGTATTTGTGTTATTATAACAGCACTAGGAAATTAAGAAAATTTGAAATGGTTTTCTACAAACTTATGGTAGGTGCATTACTTTTGTCTTGAGGTGGGAATGGTCCACTGAGCACAAGCTGTATGTGTCTGCGGATGCACCAGGATCTTTACATTTGGTCAAATTCAGCTGTATTCCTCCCAACCACCTTTCAGCAATGCCTGAAGACTGGCGTATACTGAATCCAGCCATCATGGCAAAGTCCGCTGAAAAACGGATCAGCCCTTAAAAAAGACTATGCTTGGCTCTCTTGATTTTTAGAAGCAGACCTCCAGGACTTTCTTCCTAGGCCATCTTAGTCTGCAAGTGCCACTGAAAACTGTTCAGCTTCATACAAGTGTCCACTGACTGACAAGCAGGAGCTGTGTATGAGATGAGTTGACCGGAATCAAACTCAGCAGGTCTGAAACCGTCGTCTCTTGAATGCTGTGGTCAATCGGAATTTAACTGAAACAATTATCTTTGAGATTGTTGGCTGCCACAGTTGAAGTCTGCCAGACATCTCATTAGGTCACCAAGCAGAACCTTAACTCCCTACTTGAATAATGAGCTAGTTTTTCTCTCCTCCCTTTGCTATGAGAAAGGGAACATTGCTCAACCTTCAAACACCTCAACCTGCAAGCAGCTCAGGAAAAAGGAACTTCAAAGCAACCTTTCCATAAACTGAAGACATATGTTTCGAAAATTTAAAAATCTCCATTGTTTCCTTTATACTAGGAATATAAGAAATAAGAAGAGCTCTGGTAGTATATTGGTTACTAATCGGGCTGCTAACCTCAAAAGTCAGCAGTTTGAAACTAACAGCTGTTCCGTGGGAGAAAGATGAGGCTTTCTGCTCTTGTAAAGACTTACAGCCTCGGAAACCCTATGCAGGGTTGCTATAAGTCGGAACCAACTCCACGGCACATAACCACCACTACCATGAATCTATGAAGCAGTATGGGCTCAGTGGGAGAATTTATGTGGGAGATTTGGGTGCAATTCCCAGCCAATGTGCCCCATGCACATCCACCAGCCATCTGTCAGTGGAGGCTTGTGTGCTGCTATGAACCTTCAAACTACGATGAACTAAGACGAGAGGCCTGGAGATTTACCTCTGAAAATCAGCCAATGGAAATGGTCTGACCCCATTGAGCCAAGGACATCTTGATGACAGCTAAAAACAACAACTACAGATATACGCCCAAGAATATTCACCTGGAATATATTGAAAAGTAAACACTGTTCAGGGTCGCTATGGGTTGGAACCAACTCGACGGCACTTAACAACAACAACAATGTGAAAGTGTTTATTTTAGCTTTCCTCAGTGGTAATTTGCTAATTTATATAAGTTATTGAGTAGTTGAAAGCTGAGTATATTTCTGAATACAAATGAACATTGTTCATATGCTGCAATAAATAGAAAGGCAGACGCAAGATGGACCAACAAACTAATGTCAGAAAATAAGGCCGACCTTCGAAAAGATGCTATAAAGTCTTGATGTAAAAGGTTTAAGTATTCAGGTAAGTTGAATACTTAAGGTAATGGATTAGTAAACGTGAACTTTAATTTTAAGGCTTCAACCAGATGAAAATGAGTAACGACTTAGCTGACCCTCAACTTGCCTTAATGTAGTTCATAAATTCGGAACTGAGAACATCTGCTCCTTCAGTGAACTGCTCTCTTTCTTCTCCTGACTTTTCATTGTCACCCAAAAGGCAGGGTTCCAGGTGAAATTCCTGATGAAATTTACCTATTAGGAAAATAAAACAGGAAGGCAAAGGCATGAATTCATGAACAGATGAGGAAAGTATCTGAGATAGCTAATCATTTTATCTCCTCTCTGCCTGCAAAGGAGGTGTATCAACAACCCAAGTTTTCTCTTTCCTGAAAGATGTGAGGAAAGGACGGAAAAAAGAGTAAGAAGAGGAAGAAAAATAAAAGAAATGAAACAGCTAAGTCAAGGACTCTTTATAGCTTGGATCCTTATTTAAAAAAAATTAAATTGTCACCTATTTCTTAAGGAATAGGGAAAACTTAAAAGAAGGGTTTTGTGCTTAATAATGTGTGACTAAGTAACTATTCCAAACAAAAATTCGACAAATATTTATTGAGCAACTACTAAAAGACAGGTGGCATGCTAAACATTTTAAGGATTGAAAAAATTGGTCAACATGATTCCTGTTCATCAGGAGCAGGTGCTCTGTGAGAAGGACTAAAACACACAAACGCAAAACAACAGGAAAGGACTACACACAAGCATTCTCAGGTGGTGCTCATCCAAGCAGAGCCAGTTCCACAAGGGGAAGCAAATCACGTAGCACTCTCTAACTTACCTGAAGATGAAAAGGGAACAGATAGGCAGTGGAGTCACTGGGGGGGTGGGGGGTGGGGTGGGGTGTGCGCGACTCTGTCAAAGGGGCGACAGCAAAATGACTGTCTATGGTATTTGTGTGCAGTTACAGCAGAAATTGATTTTTATTTTTTAATAAAAATATACCTATAGTTAGTTTTAACAACAAACATTTTTGGTAAGCTCAGCTTACCTATATAATATACTTAAAAGGCTAAGACTCTATGCTAATTTACTTTTGGCACCTTCTAATGCGCTCCGGATCTTAGCTCTCATTGGGAGTCCTGGTGTGGCGCTGTGTGTTAATGCGCCAGACTACAAAGCCATTTGAACTGCAAGGTTGGTGGTTCAAGCTCACTAGCTGCTCCCTATATAGTGTCTCTATGGATCAGAACTGACACGATGGCACTTAACATGAGCTCTCCTTATGATCCATTTAAACAATGAATCATGTGGCTTCGTGGCATGTTAACATTCACTATTGTTTTCATTGCTGCTGGTGTTTTTATCATCACTGATTTTGTCATATTTTCTGGTGTTTTAGCTACAACATGGTGCTAAATATGGAGTCCCAGTGGCACTGTGGGTTAAGCATTGGGCTGCTAGCTGTAAGTTTGGTGGTTCAAACCCACCAGCTATTCCATGGGAGCAAGATGAGTCTGTCTGCTCCAGTAAAGACTGACAGTCTTGAAAACCTATTCAGCGTCATGATGAGTCAGGGTCATCACTCGTCAGCAGAGTCCTGATGTAGCACTAGGATAAAGCACTGGACTGCAAGGTCGGTTTGAACCGCAAACTCATCAGCCGCTCCTTGGAAACCCTATGCAGGGCTGCTATGAGTCGGAGTCAGAATCAATTCGATTGAAGTAGGGTTGGGTTTGAGTATCATGCCATTGGTATGTTTCAACCTGTATCACTAACTTTTCTGAGAACCAACTAGAAATTAACGGAAAAGAAGTATGAAAAAATTTTTTTTCATTCAATTACCAATAACATTGTAACTAATAATGTTGTTATCCAATGTCAAAAGATTTTATAAAACAATTTGTTGTTAGTAACCATGGTTGTGGTGGTGGTGGTATGGCCGTGGAGTTGGTTCCGACTCATAGTGACCCTGTACAGGGTTTCGTGAGGCTGTAAATCTTTATGGGAGCAGAAAGCCTCATCTTTCTTTCACAAAACAGCTGGTAGTTTCGAACTGCTGACCTTGAGGTTAGCAGCCCGACTCATACTGCTAAGCTACCAGAGTTCCTTGTTAGTAACCATATAACCTAAGATATATTACATTTAATTTACAGTTTACAAATATATTCATCACCTATGAGTCTGTTTTTAACATTGATACTAACAATTACGAAAGATTCGGTATGGTCTGATACATGAGGTGGCTGCCCATAGGGGGTTGATACCAATCCTGGTGACATCACAGCACATAGGGCTGCTCTTTAAGGAGTCCTGTTGTTGTTAAGTGCCGTTGAGTTGATTCCGACCCATAGTGACCCTGTATAAAAAGGTTTCCAAGGAGCAGTTCAAACGACTTTGCAGTTTGAAGCATTAGCCCACAGCGCCACACCAGGACTCCTAGCTAGTAGATTATGTACGTCCAAGTCCAAACAGAGGGAATGAAACTCACAAGCAACAAATTATGATTCTTTTATTTGAAAATTTTGTCTAAAACACTATCCTGTGTACCACATAATATTACAAAGTCTGCTTGATACAGTGGCAGAATTATATTTTTCATAAAGTTTTATTTTATATAAAACCTAAACCATGTTGCTATCTAATCAATTCCAACTCAGAGCAGCAATATAGGGCAGAGTAGAACCTCCCCCACAGGGTTTCCAAGGCCATAAATCTTCACAGAAGCAGATTGCCACAGCTTCCTCCCACAGAGCACAGCTGGTGGGTTTGAACTGCCAACCTTTTGGTTAGCAGCCAAGCACTTAATCACTGTGACACCCATACTAAGCACAGATATGTTATCTTTGCATGAAGGTGAATAATGTACAAGGGAGCTTCAAAAATTTGTGAAAAGAATCCACTAATTTTCAATTCCATTTTCCCACGAACTTTTAAAAAATCCCTGTGTATTTTAGGAGCTCTGGTAGCGTAGTGGTTACGAGTCGGGCTGCCAACCTCAAGGTCAGCAGTTCGAAACTACCAGCGGTTCCGCGGGAGAAAGATAAGGCGTTCTGTCCCGTAAAGATATACAGCCTCAGAAACCCTGTGCAAGGTCACTATGAGTCGGAACCGACTCCATGGTACTTAACAACAACATGGTACCAATTTAACTGAAATATGCTAAACATAAAAACCTAAATATAAGATGTGAAAGCAAACACTAAGTCCATATTGAGTTGGTGGATATAGCTCTCTCATCCCCAATAAGAGGATCCTCAAAACTATTAGGAAGATAATTTCTGTATTAACCCAAAGCATTCATAATTCAATAATTTTCCCCAAACACTAAGATATAATTTCCAGTTCTATAATATTTATGGAGTCTTGGTGTGATGTGTCACTGGACCACAAGATTGGTATGAAATGCAAGGTCGGCGGTTCAAATGCACCAGCTGCTCTTCAGAAACCCTTTACAGAGTCACTATGAGTCAGAACCAACTCGACAGCATTTCACAATAACAGTAACAAAAAATACTATTTATATATATAGTGAAGTGTGGTACTGTGGGATAATGCACAGGACTACAAGATCAGTTTGAACTACAAGGTCAGCAGTTCAAACTCACCAGCCACTCCTCAGAAACTCTATACATGGTTGCTATGAGTTGGAACCGACTAGATAGACGGCACTTAACAACAGTCTCTATCATAATTCATAAAAATTAAAATATAACATTTTCCTTAAATCTCATTGAGCAGATTTGGAGCAATGAAACTACTACCATAAAGTAATTCGAAGAGGGCGTCCCACCAAGATATGAAACCTATCAGTAGGCTATTAAAGGTACAAGAGATATAGAGTGTTTAGTGACCACTATGGTGATTATACCTGATCCAAACCATGGTATTTTCAATAACCTCATATGCATGCAAAAGCTGAACAATGAATAAGGAAGACCGTAGAAGAACTGATACATTTGAGCTATGATGTTGGAGGAGAATACTGAAAGTGCCATGAGTTGCCAAAAGAACCAACAGATCTGTTTTGGAAGAAGTGTAGCCAGAGTGCTCCTTGGAGGCCAGGATGGCCAAACTTTGTCTCTCATACTTCAGACATATTGTCAGAAGGGACCAGTTACTGGAGAAGAACATCATGTTTGGTAAGGTAGAGGGTCAGAGAAAAAGAGGAAGACCCCCGGTGATATGAATTGGCAAAATGGCAGTCTCCATGGGCTCAAGTGTAGCGACAATTATGAGGTTGGCCCAGGACCGGGCAGTGATTCGTTCTGTTGTGCATAGGGTCACTTTGAGTTGATACTGACTCGATGGCACCTAACAATAACAACAACAAATGGTGATTATTTAACCACCTGATTTTAAGTCCTGGTGTGGCACTGTGGGTTAATGTGCCAGACTGCAAAGCTGTTTGAATTGCAAGGTAGGCGGTTCAAGCTCAGCAGCGGCTCCTTGGAAACGCCATACAGGGTCGCTATGGGTTGGAATCGACTTGACAGCAGTTAACAACAATAACAAGAACCGTAGAAACCACCTAACCAAATCATCTCATTCTGCAAATAAGGGGATTAAGATTCAAACTCCAATACATTCCTGGGCACACTTCTCAACTACAGTCCCCTCCCCAATTTGTAGTTGGGTGTAGCTGCTTAAGAAGGTGGATGGTCACTCACTGCAGGTCCAGTGAACAAACTGCCATGCTCTTCCATGGAAACCTTGGAGGTACTGTGGTGAAGATGGAGGGAACTTAGGTCCTTGAAATAACCACTCGGAGGTGAATTGCCTGCCAATCAGCAACTCCCATTTGGATGGTGTTAAGCCACTGACAGTGTTTCTCTGCTATTCATAAGGTTTTCAATGACTAAATATTTGGAAGTAGTTTGTCACTCCTTCTTCCTAGTCTGTCTTCATCTGGAAGCTCATCTGAAACTTGTCCACCACAGGTGACCCTGCTGGTATTTAAAATACTAGTGGCATGGTATCCAGAATCACCGCAACTCACAAGCCACCACACTATGACAAACTGATAGGGTCGCTATGAGTTGGTACTGACTCAATGGCACTTAACAACAAGCCACTGAGATCTAGGAATCCAAACTAGAGTTATAATAACTTAAGTATGTACCACATCAATATGTTCTTCCAGAGAGTAGTTTTAAAAAATCTGGTGTCAACCTTCAGAATAAGAATAGCTCCACTGTTAACTATCTGTGTGACTGTTGTTGTTGTTATGTGCCGTGGATTCGGTTCCGACTCGTAGCGACCCTGCACAGGGTTTCCGAGGCTGTAAATCTTTACAGGAGCAGAAAGCCTCATCTTTCTCCCGCGGAACAGCTGGTAGTTTCTAACTGCTGACCTTGTGGTTCACAGTTCAATTCGTAACCACTACGCTACCAGAGCTCCTTAGCTGTGTGACTAGTGGTAAATTATTTAAACTCTCTGAGTCTTGCTTGCCTCACCTATAAAACGGAGACAGACTGTCTCAGAGTTTTGACTTTAAATGAGCTCAGCCCACAAAGTAGCGAGTGACTGTGCATACCAAGTGTGAAATGATATTATTAGCATTGCCCCATGTGTACAAAATAAAAACATATCATTTGAAATTTCACAGTAAGCACTTTCTCCCCATCTTTTATTCTCAGACCTTTAACAGGGCTAGGGTGATGGCAGGCTTCCTCCTTGATCATCTGTTCTTCTTCCATGATGTTTGACATGGGCACATTAAGGCTAACAGTGTCTTCATCGGAAGGCTACAAAGAGAAGAGGATACTTACTGTTTTATTCAAGGAAGCAGTGCATCAGTATAGAGAGAAAGTTATGTGATAAAACAACATTTTGTGACTCTCCCAAATATTAAGTAAAAGAAGCCAGACTCAAAGAAGGACAATTCCACTTACTCAAGTGCAAAAATGGACAAAACTAATCCATGGTATTTAAAGTCAAGATAGTAATTCAACTAGGACTTTCTGAGGGTGTTGGTAAAATTCTGTTTCTTGAACTTGAAGCTGGTGGTACAGGTGTATGTTCACTTTGTGAAAATTCATCAAGCTGACCCTTATGATTTCTATATTTCTCCATATGATTTCTATATTTTTCCATATGATTTCTATATTTCTCCAGATGTCCATTCCTGTATTTCTCCAGATGTATATTCTAGACTGAAATTTTGCAGATACCTATTCTTTTCTAACCTAAGAGTCACATTCAGGGCACTTACAACAAACTGTGGAATGACTGTCCAAACAAAAGGATAACTGTAAGTAGAAAATTCTATTAGTCCTAAGTCTCATCATTTGTTTAGACAGTAACGCTACTTTGAGATCTGACGATAAAGTTAGTTTACCAACACCACATTAAAGTTTCATATGGTTTGTCACAAAAGGAAAGACGTCAGCCCTTATGATGACTTCTTTGTTTTTTAGGCTGGGAAATGGCATTAAATATACAAAAGAGTTAAACATGGTTGTACTCTAAAAGAACATGTTTTATAGTTTTAGGAATAAGCTTTCAATTTTAGTTGTCTCTGGGAGTCTCCTTTCACCCAGCAGCTGATGAAGCTTATTCAGAAAAATCTATGATTCCGTTACAAAGGAAACATGGAATCTCACTTATTTTCCTAAGACTCAATTTCTGTGTAGCTATTTAGTGAAAATGGAGTCCTGGTGTGGCACTGTGGGATAAAGTACTGGACCACAATGTCGGTTTGAACAACGAGGTCGGCGGTTCCAACTTCCCAGCCTCTCCTTGGATTCCCTGTACAGATTCACTATGGGTCAGAACCGACTCAACAGCACTTAACAACAACAATAATTTAATGATAAGTTTCCAAATCTCCACAGAACGCATTTTAGGTGATCACAGCTCACTCCTCCACCCTTGAGGTGACTACTACCTTCAAAGGAGAATGTTTTCATTTACTTTTTCACACAATCACCAATTGTCTGGAAGCTGGCAGAATACATGTGTGCATTTCACTCATTTAATAAAATAATCTTCCCTCCACCCTCCTACTATCTTAAAAACTTAGCAAAATTTCAATGATATGCATCTAATTAAAAGCGAGAGAATACATGCTCCATCTCCTTTTAGAATATTAATATTTTACATATTCTAAGTGAGAACAAAGAGATAATGGTGTCCTTTGTGTAATATTTTATTAACCAACTTAATTATTCTGAGAAGACACGTAAGGCATAAAGCTGAGGCTGTTTCAATGTAATAGAAAACCAGCTAAGGGTGAGTCGTTTCTGAAATAATGGTCCATTTGAGGGAACTTCAGAGTTTTAATAAAGCTAAAAGGAATGAACTAAAATGTAACCTCTAAAGCAATGTGCTGAAGTTTTAGCCCCCAGGGAGCTGAAGAAACTATTAATGTGGTTTCATGAGGCTTGTTCTCTTTTACTGACACGACCTACTGAGTCACCTTCTGTTACAATTTAGTTTTTATACTGGAAATCTCTTAAGGTATAATAATGCTTTAATGCATTACTTTATAATACATTTTGTGGAAAATAAACCCACGTATCTGAACTATGCATTAAGCCAGCTGAGGAGAACTGGGAAACAGCTGTTTTCTATGAGGCATACTTTCAGAATAAAAAATGAAGAGTCAATAGATGAAGTTGTTGTTGTTAAGTGCCGTGGAGTTGGTTCCGGCTCAGAGCAACCCTGTATGGGGTTTCTGAGCTGTATTTTTGTGGGAGAAGAAAGCCCCATCTTTTCCCTGTATTACATGGGGAAGCTGACCCGTTAATTACTCTACTAAGGGTATTATAATGTTCCAAAGCTCTTAAGTACAAAAATTCACTAACTTCTCTCAAAAGGGAAGAGAGTCTACTGGTGATACATCCTTCCCTGATCGCATCTATATCTTCCGGCTGCTTGGGACAAGAAACCTCATTTCATCATACGAGATTTTGGGATTTTAGTAGATTCAAATGAGAAAAAGGAGCGCTGGTATCATGGTAGATTATGGGCTGGGCTGCTAATCACCAGGTCAGCAGTTTGAATCTCTCAGCTACTCCTCCAGAGAAAGATAAGGCTTTCTGTTCCCATAAAGATTTACAGCTTCAGAAACCCTATACAGGGTCACTATAAGTTGGAACTGCTACCACCACCAAAGGAAGCTGTTGTGGGTGAGGCTACTTAGCTTACAAATAAAGTTTTATTCAGTTACCTAATAAAGCACAATCTAAGTGTTTCCATAAAGCAAGTAATGTTATAAAAATTATGGTCACTCATAAATGCATTTGCTGAGGACAAACTGCTAAAACGCAATCTACACTGGGTTCTAGGAACTCATGCACACACATAGCAACAATGTCTTTAGCAGAATACCAACTTAGTCTGCTGCTATCTAAACACAAACAGAACGATTCTTCATGAATCCCTGCATACTATTTAGTCATGTCAAATACTTATTAAGTAAAGAAGAATAATCAAGTAATATGGGGAAGGAAAGGAAGAAAATAGAAAGACTAATCTGAAGGCATTTGTAAAATATTAGAGACTAAAAATAGTAAACATGGCTAATAGAGGTAACTCCCGAGATCGGAAAGTAGAGTGCTCCTATGAACACTTTCATAAATAGAAATGGTGTCAAGTAAAGACGCCATGACCATTAATCTAAGTAGGGAGTCCTGGTGTGGCGCTATGAGTTAATGTGCTGGACGGCAAAGTCGGCTTGAACCTCTAGGTTGGCAGTTCAAGTTTACCAGCGGCTCCTTGTAAACCCTATACAGGATCGCTACAGGTCGGAACCGACTCGATGGCACTTAACAACAACCACAATAGTGCTTAGTGACACAGTTCAGAGCCATGGCGGTTAGATGCTGAGACACTGAGTGTACTTCCCAGGAAGGAGTTTGGTGACAACCCTCAGGGTGTGGGTGGCCTGTGTAACGAATAGCAGCATAAACTTCTGCTAACTGCTTGTTTCTCTTTCACGTTTTTTTCTTCAAAAAATGTGAACATCCTCTTTGGATTTCTTTTGGTTTGTGAAAGCAGGTACAAACAAATGCAGGTCTTTCATACGAGCAGAGTGGCATAAAGCAAACTTTAGAAAAGCACTTGGTGGGTTTCATAAACGTCAATGCATATTCTCAATCAGATGAGTGAATTACCAGAAAGGAGTTTGGTCAAAATCGGCAGAAGCATCCAGGCGCAGAGAAGGGAAAAAAATCTGACCAAGAAGTTTACCTCTGTGGTAGACAGTCGCTTGTCTCCATTGTCACTCCCAACGCCAGAGTCTGAATCCTTCTTACTGGAGTGGATATCATCAAGATTGAATTCATTTAGAAAAAAAAAATAAAGCCACAAAGTTCACACCAAGATACTTCCATTTACTTTCTAATCATGATTTTGCTATCTAGAGATGATTATTATACAGCGATTAAAATATCTGTCCACCACTAAAGAATATTAAGATACAGGTCTAATGAAAATCAGGTGCTCACACACAATCTAAAGATACAACAGGCACCATGTCGAATAGGAAGTTCTGGTGCAGCACTGTCGGGGAAGTACTGGACTGCTAACCGTAAGGTCAGTAGTGTGAACCACAAGACCAGTGGTTCAAACCTACCAGCTGTTCCTCAGAAACCCTATCCAGGGTCGATATGAGTCAGAAACAGAATCCACAGCACTCACCACTGCCACCAACAATAAATCAACTAGTGATGACCATGTGTGGCAGAGTGGAACTGTGTTCCAGAGAGTTTTCAATGACGGATTTCCCAGATGGTGTTGTTATTAAGTACCATCATGTCAGTTGTAACTCACAGAAACCCTGTCGCGTACCTTGCGGTTCAAGCCAACCTTGCAGTCCAGTGCACTATCATGCAGCCTCACACCAGAGAGTGTAAGATAAAATCTGTATCTTCGGGAGTTTAAGGATATAGTGTCTAACCAAGAGGCCTACTCTTACAAGTCAAATCATTTCTTTTAAACAGTTTTTAATTTTGTTATTTTAATAATTCTGGAATCCTGTATGCTGTAGGATCAGCACTGGACTATGAACCACAAAGACTGGCAGTTTATCCCCATCAGGGATTCCTAAGAAACCCTACACATGTTGGCTATGAGTCAGAATTGACCCAATGGCACTTAACAATAACAACAGCATATAAAAAAGCAATAAACTACAAAAAATGTTTTTCTCTGTCTGGGTGGGGCTGATGAAAGCAGATGGGGATAGGACTCTTGTGGTTCAATAGTGAGTAATTGTTATCAGGACTGACTGTGAGGGTTGGAAATGTAAAGGTAGATGTTTTGCAACAAGAGGAGGAGAGTGGTTGGCTTTGCAATCAAGGAGCGGATGTCCCTGGAACCATCAAGGGAGAAGAGCGGAGTGCGGGACCCTACCCAGAGAAACAGTGATGCCAGAGATGGAGGCAGAGACAATGACATGGAGAGATGGAGCAGCTGGGGACTCTAGACCCAAAGAGGGAGAGGGGCTGTGTACTGATGACCGGGGGCAGGCTTGTAGGGTATACCATTTGGTTGGTTGATGATAGATGGGGAGGATTTAACCATGGCAATGAAACGATATACGACAGGATGCATGTAAAACTAATGTTCTCCCATGTAAACTAACACATAATCCACAATAAAACATTAAAAAAAAAAAGTGTTTTTCTCTTTTGCTAAGTGTTGTTTCTTTAAGTAATTGTAAACTTTTATTCAATGAAAAAATACATTTGACAGTATGTTGTTGTTAAATGCCGTGGATCAGTTCTGTCTCATAGTGACCCTATATACAGTTTCAAAGATTATAGGAGCAGAAAGTCTCATCTTTCTCTTGTGGAGTAGATAGTGAATTCGAACTGCTGACCTTGCCGTTAGCTGCCCAACACATAACCCAATACACTACGAGGGTTCCTTTTGATGGTATGGTGGTGGTTATGTGCCACTGAGTCTGTTTCAAATCATAGTGATGCTGTGTAGGGTTTCCGAGGCTACTAGCAGTTAGCAGCCCAGTGTTATCCTACAGCACCACAACCAGGACTCCATCAGTTGGGGAGGCTGAGACTTAAAACCACCTTGTTCAGCAAATAATTATGCAAACAATTTCTGCAGTGAAGACATTTCAAAAACAACCCGTGTTTCTGTAAATGTGTTCAGTGTGGGAATTCTGTTCTGTGAAAATTCAAGGTTCAATTTATGGCACAAAAAGCCCAAGGACGTGTGAAAAGATTCTATCACTTCCACTCCAAATAGGAAATGGCAGAAACTGTGCACGCTGCATTTTAGTAGCACAATACAAAAATAAAGCCAACAGCTTTCTTAGTAATAGTGCTCCGGAGGCAAATTAAAATTAAAAAAAAATTTTTTAAAGGACATGCATGAGCTTCGTAGGATTTTGCAATTGATAAGCAAGAATACATTTACAGCATAGATCATACTTATAAGCCAACACATGCAAGGGGACATCAAAAACTTAATGAATTATGATTCAACAGTGAGTCATTGTTGCCATGACTAATTGTGACTGTCACAACTGTAAAAGGTAGAAATTTTGTAACAAAAAAGGGGTGGGGTGGGTAGTTAATCTTACAGTCCAGGAACAGAGGATCCCTAGGACCATTAGAGGAGAAGAGCACGAGCGGAATGTGGGACCCTATCCAGAGAAGCAGTGACACCAGAGATGGAGGCAGAGGTGGGGACACGGAGAGAGGTAGCAATCGAGCACTCTAGACTCATGGAAAGAGAAAGGCTGTGTGCTGGCGGCCAGGAGACAAGCCTGCAGAATGTGCCCTTTGGTTGTTTAAGTGATTATATTCCTAAGTGTTTTTGTGTACATCCCCCCCAACAAAAAACATACAGAGGGAAGAGAAGCAAAAATACTGTTGAATGTTGATGCGGGGAGGAGACTGTAATCATTGCAATGAAACGATGAGTGTAAAACCGATGTTCTCCCATGTAAACTATCACTCAATTCACAGTAAAAACGTTAAAAAAAAAAAAGGAAAAATTCCATTTTTCAAGGAGCTTTCTGAAGAACCTTCCTACATGCATATATATATATATATATATATATATATATATATATATATATGCTGCTGTTTTTTAAGTGCTATTGAGTCAGTTCCAACTCACAGTGACCCTGTATAAGTTTTCCAAGGAGCAGCTGGAGGGTTTGAAGTGCCAACTTTGTGGTTTACAGTCCAGTGCTGATCCTATAGTGCAGTACCAGGAGTCCATGCACAAATAAATACATATAATAAACTAAAATCCACTGTTGGTTCTAACTCATAGTGACCCTATACAGGGTCTCTGAGTTGGTACATTTTTAAAGGCGCAGACAGCCTTGGAACAACTCATGGGTCTGAACCACCAGCCTTGCAGTTGGCAGTCCAATGCTTTTCCAACAGGGCAACCAGGGTTTTTCGGAGTATATATTGTTGTTAGGTGCCGACAAGTCAGTTCTGCCTCAATAGCGACCCCTACGTACAACAGAATGGAACACTCCCCAGTCCTAGGCCATCCTCATAACTGCTGTTAGGTTTGAGCCCATTGTTGCTCCCACTGTGTCAATCCATTTCCTTGGGGGCTTTTCCTTTCTTTGACTGACCCCCACACTTTACCAACAAGCATGAAGTCCTTTTCTAGCGACTGATCCCTTCTGACAATATGTCTAAAGTTATGTGAGACTAAGTCTCATCACCCTCGCACCTAAGAAGCATTGGGGCTGTCCTTCAACTAAGACTGATTTGTGTGTGCATACACACCAATATGTATGTATGTATGTATATAAGAGTATGGATTCCTGGTGGAGCGCTGTAGGATAAGCACTGGACTGCTAACCACAAGGTCACCAGCTGCTCCTCAGAGACCCCATTACAGGGTCGCCATGAGTTGAAATTGACTGGATGACACATAACAGCAATAACAACATACACATGTGTATGGATGTATATATGTTGTTGTTATGTGCCATCGAGTCAGTTACGACTCATAGCTACCCTGTACAGGGTTTCCGAGGCTGTAAATCTTTATGGGAGCAGAATGCCTCATCTTTCTCCCACGGAACAACTGATGATAGTTTCAAACTGCTGACCTTGAGGTTCGCAGCCCGATTCGTAACCACTATGCTACCAGAATGCCTTATATATGACGCAAATCCTAGAGACACATAGACACACACACATACACATGTACATGTGTGTATGTAAATAAAATGAAAGTACTCAGGAAGGATGGATTAGGAAAGGGGAGAAAATGAGAATTGACATATGGCAAAAACATTATCAAATGCAATAATTTTCTTTCTTGTTTCAATTGTTGTTGTTGTTAAGTGCTGTTGAGTTGGTTCTGACCCCATCTGTATAGGGTTTCCAAGGAGCAGCTGGTGAACTTGAACCACCGACCTTGTGATTCAAATTGACTTTGTAGTCTAGCGCATTAACCCACAGCGCCACACTAGCACTCCTCTTATTTCAATAGCTTCTACAACTGGAATTGGTTGAGTGAAGCAAATGGAGTTTTTAATTGTCTAGGTGGCACTGGCTTAAGACCGGGGCTTCAAGTGAGAGTAGAGGGACTCACCTGTCCTCCACATTCTGGTGTATATGTGGTCTGTCCATTGATTGGAGATAAAGAGAGTCAGCTGTCTTCATCTGGCACGCTTGTATACTTAGATACTTGAATATATGCACTTTGCCCTTGGTGCAAATCTATTGAGAAATTAAAAATACATCTTTACCTTTTAAATAGCAAAAGAAAATCTAAATACCAGGTATCTTAGTCTGTAAATTTTCATTTTAAGTAGCATCGTAACAATGCACACTAAATTTGATTACTCCAAAACATATAAGAATTTAGGAAAACAAAAACAAACAGAAGGGAGCTGCTGATGCTGCTTATCTGCAACCCTAAACCTCATGGGACATTCTAGTAACAGGTCTAATAACAGGCTTAGTGTTTCTGTTCTACCTTCTACTTTGCTATGTAGTGGGGAGCGGGGGTGTTAAAGTGTATAAATTGTCAACCAAGGTAAAACAATTGGTCTCTATTAATCTGGAGCAACAGAGGAAGAAGGAGAGACAACAATAGGAAGGGGAAATGGAATGGATAGTTAATTGCCTCCAAGAACAATTGCCTTTGCCATGAGACAGAAGAATTGGATGGTGTCCGACTGCCATTATTGAATGTTTGGATCACAGATTCTATGGAAGGAACCTGATCAAAAGGGGGAATATGCAAAACAGAATTACAAATTCTTATAAAATCCAGTTTTTATGGAGCCATGGAGCTCAGATAAACCTCTGAATCTATTGCCCTGAGAAAATCCTTAAACCTTATACCAAAAACACTCTCTGTAGTGTTCTTTATACCACACAACAGTTTTGCTCTACTAGTAAAGAATGTCTGCCTTAGCACTGTCTTCTTTCCACAAAACGATCTCTATGGAATCAAACTGGCAACAGCCAGTCAAAAGGTTGGACTTTTTGTGGCTTAGGGGCAGTAAGTTTATGTGAAGGGTGGAAGAACAATTTGGGAAAGAAAAGGTGAGAACCGCTACGATTCTTGAAGAATGCGATCAATGTCATTGAATTGTACTTGTAAAAAAGAATTGCTGAATTGGTATATGTTTCGCTGTGTGTATTTTTTTTACATTAATAACAAGGGAAAAAAAGAATTTAGAGAATTATTTCCTCCAATTCTACTTTGCAAAGAAAATCAAGCTCAATAAATTTCTAACTTCTTGACCTAAGCTAAAATTTTTAACAGAAAAAAAATTTAAGTATAAATAGTATAAAAAAAACAGAGCAGAATTATTCCAAAGGATATTCTTGGCTGCTATCGTTCTGAAAGCAGATTAGCAGGCCTTTCTTTCAAGTGCTGCTGGGTGGGTCAAACTGCCAGCCATTTGTGCCACGCGGGGACCTTAAAAAGACTACAAAGCTTCACTTATTTCCAACCCCTTAAGGCAGCAAAACAAGCTCTAAAAAATTCTATTGATTTAATAGCTATTAAATTATTTTAAAGTAAAAAAAAATTTTTTAATGTTTACACAGCTAATATTGGATGTACATTATTTTGTTCTCAACAAAATGAGATTGAATACCAGCTCAAGATAACCAAAAATCATCTTTTTAAATGTTTAATTCCATTTTCTTGCTAGCATTAAAATAAAGAATGCAGTTGACCTTTATTATGTACATATTCCATATTGTAGACGTGCCTACTGATTAAGAAAACATTTTTTATATAATATCCATACCCGTGGCACATTCAGAGCAGTGGAAATTTTGAGCTGCCAAATGTGCAGGTTCCTAGCTGAGCAAAATAATGCTGATGCAGCAGATAAGTCAATGTACCCAAATTCATGAAAGGTGTGTGCATTTTGCGTGACTTCTTATGATCACGCCTGATATGAAATCAGCAAAGTATCCAAAGACCAGCTCTGAAGAGTTGCTTGTGTTCTATGGATAGCATACCCCGTTGACGGCTGTTACCGGGGTCTCACCTGTGCCGGAGGAGACTGCAGAGGATTATTCTCCAGCAGTAATACTTGCAGCTGCTTCATCTCTCTAAAACAAATCGGAATCGCGAGTACTTTATTGCCGGAAAAGTCAAACTTTACCAGGGGAAGATCTACTAGTTCTGAAAGAATGGGGGAAGAATGGGGGAGGGGGAGGGGAACCAACAAAACAAAACCAGATTAAGTAAGCAAGAAGATGAAATAGTTAAAACATCCAAAATATACATTTCTGCTCATCAGAAAAATATCAGTTAGTTTAATCAAAAGCAAGACATGCATTACGAATAACACATGATGCATTGCATATAATATTTTACATCAGTGGATAAAACTTTTTCACTTCGAGTTGAACAATGCTAAATTGTTAGTTCTGACAAGAGCAGAGCAACTCTACAGATTTACAAATCTGTTGTTTAAGAGGTAACAGAATATTCTTATCTCTTCCGTGTATCTGAGTTAGTTTCAACAAATAGCTTCATGATTTTTTTTACAGTGTTTTAAAAGATAAACATGATCGAAGGCATTCAGAATGTTCTGACAGCTCCTATAATTCTGACTTGATGAGGCTTTTTTCACTTAACTGCTTTTTGAAAGTCCTCTGTAGCTTTTTACAAACAAGACAGAACATTATATTTAGTTTAAAATCCCCACCCAGCAGCACAGCAAATACTCAGTCATTTCAAGCATTCAACCCAACACTGGCAGCTGCTGGAAACGAAGTCAAATGCATTCCATAGAGAGGCTGAGCAATGCCAGACATCCAGGGGGGTGCTAGGAAATCCCGAGATCTCAGAGTGAGTGGTCAGAGGAGGCTCATTCCAGAATGGGAGCCACATCACTTTTGCTAGAGGACCCATTAAGATCTTTTAAAGACTCAAGGAGTTCAAAAGTAAGAAGAAAGGCAGGCTTTGTATAAAAAGAAAAAACTGCAGGCAGAAACCTGGGGTAGAGGCCATTACTGCATCATGGTAGGACTGTCAGCTTCCCTGTGGGGCAGGGCAGTCACTTTATGCTCAGTGTTGATATGATGATGAACAGGTTTCAGAGGATGGACTAGGAAGAATAAAAATGCTGTGGAGCACAGTAGTCCAGTCCATAACTGACCACGGGGACGTAGGACCTGGCACTGTTTCATTCCATTGTGCACGGAGTCGTCATGAACTGAGGTCTGAATCTTCTGCAGCAAACAACCTGTCTTCCCCTACACGCACTACAGGAATATTTTACTTTACTCGGATGTTGTTGTTGTTGTTGTGTGCTGATGAGTTGGTTCCAAAGCTATACCATCTCAAAAATTCACCAACAAAGATCTCTCCTCAGAATTCAACTTGCTTTGGGCGTGTAAGTAGGAGACTTTGCTTTTTTCATACTTCATGAAGTGCTTTGTTGTTGTTCAGTGCTGTTGAGTGGGTTTAGGCTCAGCCACTCTGCATAGCATTTTTGAGGAGTGGATGGTGGGTTCGAACTGTTGACCTTGAGGTTAGCAGTCCAGTGCTTATCCTACTGGGACTGAAATTGCTAGAATGGACCCGGTGGGTATCTAACTCAGCAGGTCCCTAACTTGGTTCCATAGTATGTAAGTTATATGTTGACAGACTCAGGAAGCAGCATTTTGTTTTGACTTTTTTGTTTTCTTTTTGGAACACAAGTTACACAGCAATCGGCTCTTTGTCAATTCTTTTACAGAATGAAACACTCTAAGTCAAGGCTATAGGGGCTAAATTTGGGGAAGACAGAAGGAGGGAAATTGGGAACAGTTGTCAGGTAATAGAGAATAGTTCTCATAATGACTATTTACTTTTGCTTTCAGTTTGGAACACAATTACCATTTTGGTTTAGGAAAAAAAGAACCTCCTGAAGGTTTCACAACAAGGAAATGGTGGAGAAAATGAGAACTCTGCAACTGCAGCCCAGAAAATGTAAAAAAACCTAGCCGCAAAAGGGAGTAATAAAAAATAAAGTTCAAATCCCACTTCTCTAGCTTTCCACTCAAAGACAGGCAGTAAATGGCTACTTTAATCCTCTGCCCATCTGGTCCTAGAAAGAACAAAATATAGTTGTAGTAAAATCACCACAAAATTTATATGGGTAATTAAGCTACAAACTTTTATTTCGCCCCACCTCAAATTGAAAGCATATGAGGAGGGGTCCACAAAGAGGCAAAACATGGTATATGGAAAGTGGTTTCATTGATTACCTGAAAGCATCATTATCATTTAAGCAAAAGAAAAGTTTATTAGCTCACATAGCCCGAAAGACGTTATGATTCTTCAGAGAATGACAGAGCTGTAGGGGCCCAGGGCTAGAGGACTCCACGGGGCCAGGATCCTGTCCCCAGCACTGTTTTTAAGATTTTTTTGGAGGAAGTAGAAGTTTTTATAGCTTTGAGTGTATCGTAAGATATCACAAAGCTGAGAAAATGCAATCATATTTTATAAAAATTTGTAACTGATCTTTCTAGAGAAAGAAATACTTTTAAGGAAAGAAAATTAAAAGTGTTAAGTACGTTTAAAAGGGGCCCTGGTGGCACAAAAGTTAAGCACTCAACTGCTGCCCTGAGGGTTACTGTTATTGGTAAGTGCCGTGAGTTCCAATTCATAGGGACCCTGAATGGGATTTCCAAGGAGCGGCTGATGGGTTTGAACCGCTGATGTTGTGGTTCAAACCGACCTGGAGGTTGAGTGCTTATCCTACAGTGCCACACCAGATGGCTTGAACCATAGTGACTCTGTGGATAAAAGACCTGGCGATCTACTCCCTTAAAGATTAAAAACCAAACTAAAACCACTGCCATGGAGTTGATTCTGATTCATAGTCACCCTACATAGGGTTTCTGGGATTGTACATGTTTATAGGAACAGGCAGCCTCATGTTTCTCCTGAGGAGTTGCTGGTGGGTTTGAACTATTGACCTTGAGGTTAGCAGCCCAACATTTAACAAGTATTATAGGCAACCATAAAATATTACATTAAATTTTATTTTGGAAAATGAGAGTTCAATTATTTGTGATGCAGTCATAATGATGCTGTGGTAAACCCATGCATGTAAGTAAGCACAGGTAAGCCCATGCTCATCTTGCTTATTGAGCAACCTGCCCTGATTTCACACAATCGACCCTGACTGCACAATGGAAAATAAAGAACAAATTTCTTCACCAAGTTATCCCAAGTAATAAGGCAATACTTCTTGATGCTTCTTTGAAATGCTAGTCAGAACAAGAAAAGGTGCAAGATGGCAGACAGACTCTTCAACCTCCCATTTATACAGCATATCATAGCTTATAAACTTCTTCCCTTCACATAAACTCCATTTTCCTGCTTGGAGTAAAGATGCATTATAAGCAATGAATCAAGGTGCAGGAAGAGAATCTTAAACATCAGGCAGCTCTCAAATGTCTGTGTTAATCACCAAGTGCTGATTGTTTTCACTTTGCATTCTTAAGTAGATGTGTGAAGTCAGCTGAGTCTAATATCCTTAAATGAAAAAGTGGAAGTCAGTGTGATCCTTGGGAATCAGAGTGCATCTTAAACGAAGGCATCCAGTATTGTTTCTGTCATTGACTTATATTCCTGGTGCAGGTTCCAATGTGATTCCTAATATGTGAAATTCAGATTGGTCATCACTCACAAGTCTGCTTTGATAGCCTTTGTTGTTTTTGTTATTGTTAATTGCTGTTGAGCCGGCCTCCAACTCACAGGGACCTAATGAACTTTGTCCCTTCCTTGAGTTAACCAAAGAAAGCAACTTTGTCCCTTCCTGGAGTCAACCCACGCTTGGTCGTGCCCACTCCATTGTGACCCATAGGATTTTCATAGGCTGATTTTTTTCTTTTTTTTAACTTTTTATTGTGAATTGAGTTAAAACTTACAAGGCAGATCATCACTTTTACATTCCACAAACCATACACTTCATTACGTTTTAAGGATTGCAATTTCCTCAAAGTAACATCAGTTATCCTATTTCCCCTGCTCTGTAATTGTTTCCTTTCCTCCTTCTTTCCCAGCCCTTCTGAATTTTGTCCTTAGGTAAATGCTGCCCTTTGATTTTGAATGGCTGGCCATTCTGTGGTGTGTGTCTACTGAACGGCTGAAAATTCTGTTATGAGAATGAGTTTAGTTCCAGACCTGAAGGGTGACCTAGAACCATAGTCTCTTTTTGACCAATAAGCCTGGTTAATGATTTTGAGTTTTGTTCCACATTCTAGGTCCTTCTAAGGAACTCTGGTAGTGTAGTGGATTATGCGCTGGGTTGCTAACCACAAGGTCAGCAGTTCGAATCCACCAGCTGCTTCTGTGGGATAAAGAGGTCTTTTTCTCCTGTAAAGATTTACGGAGACCCTATACAAGGGTTACTATGAGTTGGAACAGACTCTGCGGCATACAACCACCACCACCACCATCTAGGACCTTCTAATGCGATCCCCTTTTAGAGCAGTTGGTAGTGGTAACTGGGCACCATCTAGTTCTTCTGTCTTAGGGTCATGGAGACTGATGTTCACATGTTGTATCAGTCCATTGGGCTAATTATTTCCAAGCATCTTCAATTTTCACCACGCTTTGTCCCTCAGCACAGGGAGAGACCAATAATTAAACCTTAGATGGACACTCATGAGCTTTTAAGATCCCAGTTGCTACTCACAAAAATAGAATGTAGAACCTTGTATTCGAGGATTATGTCATGCTGATTGAGCATGGTGTTCGTAAGCTGATTTTTGGAAGCAGATCACCAAGTGTTTATTCCTAGTCTGTCTTATTCTGGATGCTCCACTGAAACCTGTTCATTATCACAGGAACACACAAGTCTCTACCGACTAGTAGGTGGTGTCTGGGCAGGCGGCACTTTGGCCAGGAACTGAAACTGGGTCTCCCATCTGGAATTCGAGAGTTTTTATCACTGAACCACCAATGACATGTGCACAGCTATTAATGGGATATCCTTTCGGAGTAGAACATACCGTTTTACTTAAACCCCAATACAGTGTATCAGAGGAACCATTCATCCCAATAGTGTAGAAACTCACAGCTGCCAGGGAAAGGTTTGCTCAAGAATTTGGAGACCCTGCATTCACTCTGGGTGGGGGAAATTGAGTATCAATGTGGAAGACTCTAGGGTCCATCAATGTTGCTGGCCTCTAAGACATTTACCAAGACTACCCATGGCACTGGTGTGGCACTTTAGGATAATGCACTGGATCACAAGGTTGGTGTGAACTGCAAGGTTGGCGGTTCAAACTCACCAGCTGCTCCTCTGAAACCCTGTATAGGGTCGCTATGAGTGCCTGACTTGAGGGCACTTAGCAACAACAACGAATATTTGGTCAAACATTTAATTAACTCATCCCTAATGTGACGGTCCTGGTGTGGTGTGGTGGGTTAATGCACCAGACTGCAAAGCCATTTGAACTGCAAGGCTCGCGGTTCAAGCTCACCAGCTGTTCCTCGGAAACCCTAGACAGGGTCGCTATGGGTTGGAACTGACTTGATGGCACTTAACAACAACAACAAATGTGATGGTTGGAGTCCTAGTATGGCACTGTGGGATAAAAGCACTGAGCCTCAAGGTTGGTTTGAACCACAGGTTGGTGGTTCAAACTCGCTAGGCTGCTCCTTGGAAACCTTATACAAGGTGGCTATGAGTCGGAACCGATTCAGCGGCACTTAACCACAACAACCCATGGTATTAGTCCACTCTCACAGGGCAATGTCCTTGTTGAATTAAAAATCCTAGATAGTAGGGGTTCCCAGTCAGAGTCCCCAGAGCCCCAAGACCAGAAAACCCTAACCACCAGCATCTGAAGGACCAAGCATGTCCTCCAAACCACTGTTTAGGATATTCTAGAACATAGCCTCACACAGCCTTATGGTGTGGCACAGTAGGATAAGCACTAGCCTGCTAACCGCCAGACTGGTGGTTTAAAGCCATCAGACACTCTTTGGAAAGCCTACACAGAGTCATTATGGTAGGAATCAACTTGAAAACACTTAACAACAGCAACCACTAGAATAAAATTTACAATGTGCGCATAACTTTCTTTCTGAAAGTAAAATTCACATTTTAACTGACATTAATTTGTTGTTGTTGTTAGTTGCATGGCAATCCATGTGTAACAGAGTAGATCGGCAGTCCACAGGGTTTTCTTGGCTGTAATCTTAACAGAAGCAGATCGCCAGACCTTTCTTTGGTGGTACTGACAGGTGGGTTAGATTCACCAACCTTTAGGTTAGCAGTCCAGTATAAACACTTGGTACCACCAAGGACCTTAACTGATGTTCACAGGAACACACACACACACACACACAACTAGAACCTCCCTCTTCACAAAAGTAAACAAAAAGATAAAAACTGCCCATTTTCTTCACTGTTTCCTCTGCTTTTTACCTTGTGGTAAAACTTTAAGGTAATTTCTTCTGACATTCAGTTCTCGTAGTGACTTCAGTTGGCCGATCTGTTGGGGCAAAGCTGTGATCTCGTTGCAGCTGACATCCTGCATCAAAAGCAAAGAGGAATCATAAATAACTGTTCCCAGGAAATCGGGCATTTCATGGAGGGTCTTCTTTCATGCTGCTCCTATTCAGTAAAGCAGGACACAGAGAAAGAAAAGAAAATTCTCCTCAAAGGAGAGAAGAGAGGTGACAAGAAAGAAGTCATTGGCATTCGACAGCAACTTTGCCAGCTACTGGCCTGCCTCGTTCACATTCTTCAGTCTTACTTTATTCTTACAACAAACCCGTGAGGCATTTACAGATCTGGAAATGGAGGCACAAAGAATATAAGTCAGGTGCCAAGATATGCAAGCACCAGACTGAACACTATGAACGAATAACTGGCCCACAGTTAAGTCACTGTAGAATAAGGCTTCTCGAGAGAAGGAAGGGGCTCACATTTTATGGTATGAATATTAATACACTGTTTAAGTGCACATTTAAAACAAAGTTCACAAGGGAGGCTGAAGACAGACCAGAACTCCTTTCTGTACGTTTCACTTGTAAAGCTCTGGCGTCTAGGAAGACTGTTGTTGTTAGGTGCCATCGAGTCGGTACTGACTCATAGCAACTCTATGCACAGCAGAACAAAACACTGCCCGATCCTGGGCCAACCTCACTATTGTTGCCACACTTGAGTCCATCGATGCTGCCACATGGCCAATCCATCTCGTGACTAATACTATGTTATTCCTAGATTAGAATCACCTCTTCACACATACAAAATGGAGGCCATAAAGTTGGTTGTTGTTGTAATCTGCCCCCAAGTTGGACCCAACTCATGGTGACCCATGCACAGTGGAAAAACATGCTCTCTCATCCTGTACCATCCATAACTGGTTGCAGATTGGAACACTGTGATCCAGAGCCTTCACTGGCTGATTGTGGGGAAGACAGCCTTATCTTTCTCCCAGAGTGGCTTGTGGGTTTGAACTGCTGACTTTGCAGTTTGCAGCCCAATGTTTAATGAACGACACCACCACGGTCCCTTATGTCCAAAATAAGGACTCAATAAATGTGGGATGAAATTTCTAAAGTCCATTATATTGATACCCTAAATGCTGAAACTCATTCTACCTCATGGCTGGGACCTCAAGATATTCTAATTTATACACCTAAAGCCCGTGTGGGTTCTACTAGGTAATATGGGACCCCAGATATATTTGGGTGATGAATGACCCAGTGGGAGTGATCCTGCTTTACTTCTGAATCTGCAAAAAACTCCCCTTTCCACCTTGAAAAAACATATGCCATGTAATGAATTCCACCTCCATGTATGTCAGAGAAGAACAGTGCTCCATAAGCGGCTTCAGCAGCTGATTTGTCAGAATCAGGTCTTTCTTCTGAAGTGCTCGTGGGTGGATTCAAACTAATAATCTTTTGGTTAGTCACTGAGGGCATTAACCTTTCGCACCACCCAGGGATTCCCCTTTTCACCTTGTTGTTGTTATGGAGTTGGTTCCAATTCACAGCAACCCTGTACAGGGTTTCTGAGGCTGTAAATCTTTA